ACAGAGAGATGTCTAGATTGTGTACCTGTACCCATTTATCCTTTACTACATGTTGCTTTTGTTATTTTTACCCAGAAAAACAACTTAGTTACACTACGGAAAATGCAATTTGATTGTCTATGTTTTTAGTTGCATTTTCACTTTCACAGTGTCCTCCTCTTGGGGAGTAACATTAAGTCTTGTGGCAGTTGCCCGAGGAAGACAGGCACCTGCCTCACCCATTCCTGGAGCCTCTCCAAGAGCAGGGGGCAGGAGGGAGCCCTCTGGCAGCACCAGCCCCTCTCCTGGCAGAGCAGCTCCGAGGAACGGTGTCACTGCCAGCTCCTGACCAAGCACAGCACGTCCTGGGGGGGACCTGAACACAGCCCAGAGCTGTGCCGACGTTTGTGCACGATTCCTACAGAACTGAGCCTGTGGAGGCCGTGCTGCTCCCCTGCACCCCTAACCAGCACCTGGAGAAGTGGAAACAACGCTACCACAAGGAGCTGCAGTGGAGCTTCTCCCTGCAGGAGGAGAGGACTGCACCTACAAACATCCCTGTGTCCAGGAGGGTAAGGGGAGGCCGATCTGCCTTTCAGCAGACAATACACATTTCAGCATAGAAAAGCATCTACTGTCACAAGAACAAGACCAGCACATTCTCAACATTAAATTTCTAATCTAATTCTTTCTCCTCGTTTCTCCTGCCTGAACGAACAAACCACCCCTCTAACAGATGGTGTGTTGAAGACAGAAGCAGCAGAAACTCCACAAAGTCCAGCAAACGTACCCTGGCAACGAGCAGCCTCACAGAACACAGACGGGAGCCGTGAGAGCGAGGGACAAAATCTGAAGATAATGGGGGGAAAAGAACTTTTTTTACCACAGCCTAACAAAAACGTTACGTGCAAACTATGCCTAAAGACAAACAACTGTGCCAACACAAGTTGAGACAGAATGGAAATAAGGAATATAGAAGAGTGGAGAAAAAACACTTAAAATTACTTAGACTCTTGGATGATGATTTGTGCCTGCATCATGGTAAAGGATGTGGTACTAACAGTGATAAACACTTCAAAAGTAACACAAGGCAGAAATCAGCAGTCTGACACAGTTTCATTCTAGATGGCCAAGACAGTTCTACAAGAACATCAACACTTTTGTTTCCCTGCTGTGAGAAAGTGGAGTCTTTAATTCTATGGAATGAACAAATACCATGAACCAAAGTAAGGAAAAGCATCTCTAGGGCAAGGCAAGTTACATGACAAACACCCTTAGCGTGGTTTCCCTCCTTTCTGAAGGATTTGGCACCTCTTCTCAGAGACGTGCACTTAATGACAGCACACTTCACGACACAGCCATTTAAATCCTCTCCTCCACCTCAGAGAGACACAAACCAACCCCACCTCTCAGTGCAGTCAGCCCAGACTGGACAGACGTGACCTGAAAGCGCTGAGGCTACAGCATGAACCACTCTAAATGTCCAGGTACGTGTGACTTCATAACTTTAAATGAGAGACTGAGAGGAACATTTGGTATTTGGGAATGCTGGGATGATTAATGGCCTCTGGGTAGATAAATGCATTATTATATTAGCTAAATGTTAAGATACAGTTTTATGTGTCTTTAAAAGTAAAATTTATCTTACCCTCTGCCTGCCACTCCCCCCCCTTTAGGTTTCTTCTTTGTGGTACCTCAAAACCCTTTATCACTTAGAAAAAAAAAAAATTGACTTGTCAAGGTTGTTCAATTCAGAACTCTTAAAACATGACAAATTGTTTTCTAGACGTGCATCATAGCAGTTTACTGTGCTTCATGAATCTTAAGACTTGTACTACCTAAAATTTAACTACCTTTGCTCTCAGAAGAGATTCTAAGATTTGTCTCAGCAAAAGTAACGACCAAGCAAAATCAAAGCTTCAAATACTACATTTGGCAAATCTAGAATGATTTCTTTTTGTCTTTACTTATGAAATTAGTGCCTTTTAAAAATAGTAAAATAGTGTACAGTTAAAAGCTACGCAGGCCTATGCAAAGAAACACCACGAGACAAACTACACCCTGTCCAGGAAGATTCTGCTACAGCTTTATGGGTTTCCTTCCAGAAGAAATACTCACTGAAGACATCACCAACCGACCACAGCGCCGTTACTCAACACCAACATCCTCCCCGTAACATCAGGCCAGAAAAAGTGTGTATAAATGTACACACAAAATAAGAATAAAAATTATTTGGTTTGGCATTTTAATAACATAATTAATAAATGTATACAATGGCAAACATTTAAAAAAATCAATATGTAAAGGAAATTACAGTTTTAAATAAGAGCTTTTAAAGTTTTGTTTCACACCTAGGTACATTCCTTTAAGGCAGTTTTATTAATATCAAAGCATTATTTACATATACATTATCATCTAACTCTAAAAATCATACATGAGCTCCTTTGTTGAGGCTGCGTCATGTCTTGGAAAAAATTTTAGAAATCATACATGTTGGGAACGTTCCTAAATCCTCAGCAGACTACCAGAAAAGAAAACACAAATTATCCATTGTCTAGTACTACTGACTCTTGTGTCATCTTGAACTAGCAGTGACAGATTTGGCAACTCTTGTGGTGAAAAGCTGTGTGTGCACTCTGGCTGTATGCTGCCCAACAGCTGCCGTGTTCCTCCCCTGGGAGTTCAGGTTTCAGAATGTGGGAAGCAGCTCCCAAATTCAATTTGCATTTGATTTTACTTCTAAGGGCACAGACCGGAAAGATTAAGAAAGGAAGAAGAAATTAATTTGAAAATCATCAGAGCACGGAGAACCTCCTGAACCTCCTGACTGCTCCTCTGCTCAGAAGCTTGGAGAATCTACCTGCACACACAGCTGCTGGGGCTCTGGATCCAGACAGCATTTGGCACTACCCTTCAGAACTGGTAACTCTGGACACGCCTGTTCCTCTGAACATCGTGGTGCTGCTGAATGCCTGGGGCTCCATGGTTTGAAATGCATCAGACCTCTGCTGGCAGAGAGAGCTGGGAGAATCCAGTCATGATCAGACACTGAAAGGAACCTGAAAATACTATTTTTTTTCCTAATATTTGTGGTATTTCAAGTCTCTTTCCTAACAGCTATGCCTTTAGTAAAGGCTACTGGCATTCCAGACTTCCTATGTTTGTCCTAAGAAGCTGGGAGAATCCAGTCACGATCAGACACTGAAAGGAACCTGAAAATACTATTTTTTTTCCTAATATTTGTGGTATTTCAAGTCTCCTTCCTAACAGCTATGCCTTTAGTAAAGGCTACTGGCATTCCAGACTTCCTATGTTTGTCCTAAGTTCTGTAGAGGCAACTTTTGCTTCAGTCCCTGTGGCCCTGCCCACGCTGCAGTGCAGGACTGGCACAGAGGCCAGGCCTGGCACCAGGCCTGTGCTGCTTAGGAGGAGTCCAACCACTGGTGGCAACTGTGAGGTGTCACCACACAGCCCAGGCCACCTCTGAACCCCTTCTCATGGGTGTCACTGTGCCAGCTGCAGCGTGGGGAACCACCCAAAGGCAGGGGAGCTCACACTGTGGAGCTGCACTGCACTGGGCTCCAGATCCCCCCTGGCTCTGTGCTTCTGCACTGGTGCTCTGCAAAACTCACTGTGCTTCCACTGAGACCAGGGCAAAGCCTGACACTGAGAGTTAGGGACCAGGAATGGATGTGGGTGGCAGCTGGTAATCAAAAGAAAGCAATGTTTTCAAGGAAATACCAGGAACATCTTCAGAGGAAGAATGGAAATTCTGTGGTCCAGAAAGCTGGGGACCAGGTGATCCTTGAGGTCCCCCCCAACCTGCTAGTCTATATGGTGGAGAGCTGCAAAGTTGGTCCTATTTTCACTTAAGAAAAAAACAAACAAACCACTAAAAAATGTTTAAATTTTCTGTGAAAACAATCTTAAGGGCTGAACCAAGTATTTACATTGTAAAACCCAAAATATTCTGCTCACATCTAGATCCTCTAGAACATTTGAAAGTTTCATTATTGAACCTTTTTCCCCTCTTTTGGACAAAATTTCAGGAACATTTCAGGAAAATAAAAATGAGATGACTTGCCAGCATGCTTCTTAATCTGTTGAACTGTACTCACTCTCCACTGAAAAATTATTCTGTTCCTTTAGAACAGGAACCTGAATGTGCCAGCTGATCTGCAATGAAATATAACTCCTTTTAGATCTGCTTGTAGGTTCATGGACACTTCCTCTGAGCTCTCTGCAAATGCATTCAAGACAACAAATGTGTGCAGTATGAAGGTAACAGCTACATCTGCTGGCTTTAACATAAATCAACAATGAACAAAATGTACCTTCCTACTAAAAGATTACCTCAAGGGGAAATGGATTGTAAAACGTATAGGGGATTATTTACATTTCTTTTTGCCATCAGGAAATCTCCTAAGCCACAATCAGCTCATGTCAAAAGACAAACAAACAAAAATTAGTCAATACACAAACATCATCAGACAGTCTTATCCTGGAAATGCCATTTGTTGAAAACAGCCTTGTATTAAAATAAAAGTTATAAAAAAGTCATACCTGACAACGTCCTGTCAGAAACATCTGAACAGATCTATGCAGAATAACTTGGGAATGTGAAAAACACACATGACAAACAAAATGTCTGTATGATAAGATTATCCCATGACTCCCACTTTTGTTAGTTACTGAACTTTTCCATTTATGTAAACAATTTTTCCTCTTGCAGTACGCAACAAAAATCAGCATAAACTTTCCAAAGAGCAATTTCATGCAGATTATGCTAACCAAATAAGGCAGTGAAGTGCCAGTAAGCTGTGAGGTTTTTGTATCTGTATATACAGTCAATTTCAACAAAATACTACAGCATTTATTTTAGATTTACAGAAGTAAATAGAAACTGCTAGTTATGGGGGTTTTTGGCTAAGTATTAGCAGAAGCTTAAGCAAATCAGTGGCTAATTTCATAAACAGAAGATGAAAGAAGTTTGTGGGTTTTTTATTTGTTTTTCCTTTTTTTTTTTTTTCCCCTGGAGTAATTCTTGAGACCTTAAAATTCTTGGTCCTTAGGGAGATGAGAACTGTCCTTTATTCAGTAGATCTTAACAGTGCAATGTGCAATAATTCCTAAGACCATCTACAGATTCTCGGCAGTAGACTCCAGTAGAGCTCCTTGATTCAAGGAAGGAAGGTAGGTAGGTAGGTTTTTATTTCTTGCCTGTTCTAGTCATGAAGAATGTAAAAAATTCCCTTAATTTTTATTAATGATTCCTACAGTCGCTGTCTTGTTACTTCAGATATAAAGGCTTCACACTGAGATACTGAAGGACACTTTTCTCTCTGTGTTCAGTTGAAAGGCAGAAAGAGAAAAGAACATAAGAAAAGCTTAAAGCGTAGAAGTATAAAATACAGAGTTAAGTTGCTAACAGAACTAACAGCACTAATAGCATGCACCAAAGGTGTTTTAATGAAGTCAAGAGGAGGACAGAATGCCAAAGACAAGCTTTATAAAATGGCAGTTTCCTTGTAGCATAGATTACTTCATATGCTTGGTTAAACTGTTCTTTCAGTTTATTCTTCTGGTTAAACTATTCAAAGAACTGACTTCAAATTACTTCTTACTGTGATTTCTTTGAACTTTCTTCTTCAGGAGATTGGAAAAATGAAAATAAATGTCATTTTTACAGGTGAAAGGCTAAATGGGATGAAGTCCCCTGCCTGCACAGGCAAAATAACTGCTGCAAAACAGCCTGTTCTGGCTTAACTAACAAGCAAGAGAGAAGCCAGGTAAGCAAGCAGTATTTACATCTGGTTAATGCAGTGTGCACTTGTTCTCATATGTAATGCTGTTAGTTTGTTGTAAATGAAATTAATCTCATTTACATTTTGGGCAGGAAACTCACCACTTGGCCCACATCTCATGTAGTGGGTAATAGAATTAGGAGCTTTGTTGCTCCCTAGACCTGCTTTTTGAATTTCTGCTTTCTGGGATAGCTTCCACATCTGCAGAGAAAAGCATTTCAAGTTATTCATTGTGTTTATCAGGACATGAAAAAAACCCTCATGCATTAAAACACATTCTACTTATTAGTAGAGCTAAAGGATATATAAACACTTTTTTGTTGGTTTAGAGGGAAGGACAGAGGAGAGGGACAGGAGAAACTCACTGGAAATGGCTATTCAACTACACTCATGAAAATTCAGCTTTACATGTAGAATAGCCAGGTATTATTTGCAAAGCCACAGCCAGATATACATAACTAGACAAACTAACCCATGCCTGTATTAAAAAAAAAAGGTAAATCTCATGTAATGGAGGCTGACTGAACCTAGCAGAGAACTAAACTCATCTTGGCATTTTTACCTGCTACACAGTGACAGAAACATTCACATTCCATTCTGCAAAACAGAAAATGATCTTTGCATGCAACAGCTTGAACGTGCAAAATGCAGTGTCTTCATTTACTACTCCCTTATGGCAAAGCATCAAGCAATCCTGTAACTGCAAGCAAATTATTGCACCTGAACAACAAAAGCTTTGTTTTTGGCCAGCAGCCACATATTTAGTGTTTAAAATTACCATGCAAAACTCTAATTTATCATTCCTGGAGGCAGCAGGGATCAAGGGGTGCCCCGTGTGTTTGAGGTCAGCCATCTGAAGGGGCAGCGGCGATTCGGTCTGAAAGGAATCTCACTGATCTGTCTGCTAGCTGAGCACAGACCAAAACAGACCTCCACCATGCTGTTGTTAAAAATGGGGAGGAAAATAATCCTTCTGGGCATGAAAACGTTTGTTGTCTTTCACACAAAATGAACAAGTGTTGGCCATTTCTTTTTCAGAGCCACTGAAGGCTCTCGCAGTGTGCTCTCGCTGCTGCAGCTGAAGTCAGTGCAGCAAAATTAGGAGCACAGGAAGTTATTATCCTCAGAACTGAAATGCAATTCATTACAAGTTTCCTAAATCACACACAATAGTTGCTTGAGCTGGACACGGGTAGTCTAGAACTCCTGTAGAGGACCCGAGGCACTGGTGTCCGCAGACACACTCAGTCTCTCTGCAGCCCTTTGTGTTTAAGAGAAGCTGTTTCGGTGCTGCCCTCCTGCAGTGGAGGAAGGTAACAACACAGGGTAAGGAGCATTAAATATCAGGCATAATTAACCACTATCTGATTTGGGTTTGCATGTGAAAGCTTAGTGCTGTGAAAAAAAGATGAAACAATGCAGACTGAAGTGCCCCATGGGCGGTGGCTGCCAAAAAGGTGCTTTTGTTGCCTTGATAGCAGAGTTTAACTTCACAGCCTAACCTCCAAGACTCCACTTTGGACTCAGGTCTTGCTCGTGATTACAATCTGGGTTCTGTGGTGATGCTGAGGAGCTCTAGTAAACCTCTCTAGAGACAATACTGGTATTTTGTGTAGCTGTGGCACTCTCAGGACCTCGCAAAGCAAGGCTGGCAAAGCAGATAAGAGCAGGCCTGAAAGCTTATCCCATTTCTCCAACAAGAGCAGCTGATCTAACCAGAAGATAGCACCTCTGCTACACACTGTGCTCTGATGGTAACCAGCAGCTGCACTGCACGACACAGCCTTGCCAGCAGTGAACAATAATACAGATACTGGTAGCACAGTGTGAGTTTACAGCACATACTCTGAGCTTAAAAGGATTTTCCATCTAATTCTATAAATAACTTGCAAAAGGTATTCTGCACATGTTGCTTCAGATCACAGCAGTGTTCATCTCAAAGCTAATTCAAACACATCTATGGATGAGGGGAGACAAAATCTAATGATGTGACCCAAGGTCAGAAGGCTGATCTTGCTGTGTGAGAGTAAAAGTGTGTGAAATGAAGGTAATATTTCAGATTTGGGTTTGGTTGGTTTTTTAAGGGCGAGATGCTTCTGGAGGGAATACAGCATTAACTAACAGCATGCTGAGGACAACACTGCAGAGGAGTAAGAATCCATCCACCCAGGACTAGTGGCTGGGGGCGAGTGCCTGCCTCCAGCCACAGCAAGGGATGGCTGCTTCACTTCCCAACAGGAACCTGACCCTCCACAGAATGCCTTTGAAACGTCCCATCTTCCCTCGTTCCTCTTCCCCACCTTGAAGTGCAGCTGGAGCTCTGCAAAGGGCTATCTCCACATTTTATTCCCAATTCTCCTGCATGAAATGGAGACCTTACAGACTAAGGTAGGAGATGAATGCCTCCTGCTTTCCCTGGAGGAACGCTGTGTTGGCAGCACTTCCACCCCTCTCTAGTTAAACTCTGAGGAATTAAAGCTTCAGCCCACACAGCAGTGCCATGACTGCCTCTAAAACTGCTGCCAAAATAAATTCAATAGGAGAAATCAGAGTATTACATTTGTTATTTTTGAGATTTATTTCCAGTTTAAAATATTTTCCCTCTAGATGTATTTTCATTATGTTTTTTTCTAGCATATGTAATTTGGTCTACATGAACTGTCAGTAACTATTTCCTCTTGCAAAACAGTGCTAATGCCTAAAGCCTCAGGTAACTGCAGTTAGAGTATGATACAACTGTAAACTCTTTGTGTTTATATTTATGATTAAGAAGTTTCAAGCAATTGCAGAGACAGTGGCATATTGAGTAATTACTTTTCAACATTTCTTGTCAACTGGTCATCTGGAATTTAATGAGTTATTGGCTTAAGCATTCCTACACACCTATAATTTTTGCAAGCAAACTTTTGTTATTTTTTTCTTTTTTTGTTATGCTTTCTTTTTTTTCCTCTTATTTTTATTACACATCTTGTTTTCTATTATATTAGTGTTACTTTCATTAAGAAGAAAAAATGAATTTCCACCATAATCCATACAGCCTTTTATTGCCACACATCACGAGGAGTCTCATAGAGCTGCTCCCTGACTCCTAATCACACCATACACTTGACCACATTGGTACACATGGGGAAGACAAAGCACAGAAAAGGGAAAAAGGTGGAAAGGCTCATTTTTTCCAAGTGCTGTGTATCACGTGACTATTTATTACCTCTGTAAGAATTACCATTGTTGTTTAGGATTATGAATGGTCTTGGTATTCACTAAAGTTCAAGTATTTTAGTAATTATGAACAGCAATTTATTGTGCAAGCCAGAGGCACTGAATTATTGGGCTCTAACGTGCTCCTTGTGCAAAGTGCATTTATGCCAGGATGTGGCATAAACGAAAAGGGCAAGACACTGAAATCTCTCTAAAATGTGTATTTTCATTAGTATCTTGTTTCTGAAAGAAAGGGGGGAAAGGTATTTCTGCTCCAAACACATAACCAACGTGTCCCTGCTACCCCTGAAGGCACCACTGAGGAGTCCTGTGTTGGCCCTGTGCCCCTCCTGGCAGTGCAGCATGCCAAGGGTTCAACGTGCATTTGTCATGTACAGGGAACACCAAAACGTTTGGGACGCGTGACAAACCAAAATAACTTGTAGCATAAAGACTTTTAAAGGCATGCAAAAATATATACAGTGCAATTAATGTTTCATGCAAACTTTGGTGAGGTTACAGTTTTACATTCAAACATGCCAAGAGTACAGGACTGAGCCCTCTGCCATCGTCCTCACAAAGCAACGACCCACAGACCTAACTCGGGAGGATTTTCTCATTGTGGTGAAGTCTGCTCTAAATCCAGTGGCCACTGAGGACACCTGTGTGTCATCTCAGACTATAGGTATGTGGTATCATGGTAACACAACTTCCCCATCATACACAACCGTACTCGTACCACAAGGTTTTAGTATCTTCAGAAACCAGCAGTGGGGGTTCAGGCTCACTGGTGTTGCTGCAGGTGGCAGGAACAAACTCACTGGACAGAACTGACCGTAGGTCACTATGATCAGATGCCAGAGGAGCAGAAGGCTGCTCTGGATTTTGTGGTACCGGTCTAAACGCGGAACGATTTGCCTGATCACTGGGTTTTGGTGTAGATCTTTGAGGCAATCCACTTATGTTGCTAACTAATTCAGTGTTAAGGGCTAAGAATGGCTGAGCCACAGTGAGCACTCTCGTGCTGTCATCACCAGATCTACTGGCTTTACTGTGAAACAGGCTCGTGCTTGGCCAAGTCCTCTCATGGAAATGAGAACTCTCCGTCCTGGACGTCTTAGGCACAGAGTTACCTCCTACGTTACGTGGTGTAACTGCACGAGCCGCATCGCTCGCGGGGACACAATCTACTCTGTAAGCCACACAGGGAGAAAAATGAGAGGAGAACTGCTGTGCTGAGTACTCACTGGAGGCTGGCGGGACACTTCTGTCAGCGGCGGGCGGCGCTGGATCAACTGACACGGGCTGTCTACTGTCCTTGGACAAGAAGTCGTGGATGCTGGTCCTGCGGGTGGTGCCCTCAGCCGTGGAAATGACGCTGCTGGCACGGGGCAGGGTGGCGTAGGGGTTGCAATCTCTCGGCGGTCGCTGCGACACGCTGCCTTGTGCCTTCTCTTTCACCGACTTGGCCTTCCTTTGAGCGCCCGAGGTGAACTTCCCTGGGGAGCTGGTGAAGTAGGGATCTTCAGCTTTCCGAAGGCTGGGCCTCACAAGCTGCTCTGGTTTAAGGGACCGTCCATCAGGGAAATCAAGGGTGTTTTTTACACTCAAGGACCTCACGATGCCACAGCCGGCGGGCGGCTGCTTCCGCAGCTTCTCCCTTCCCGCCAGCTCCGCAGACTCAGACAAGCTTCTCATGACTTCATCTAAAAGATTCTCTTCACTTGCAGATTTCAACTGTCAAAAAGAGGAAACATCTTATAAATTTACAAATTGGCGTTTTGACCTTTCCTTCGGCAGTCTTTGTGGATGTGAACAGAGAACAGTTCTAAAATGGTTTGCCTTTGTCAGTTCTCAGTTTTAAACATTTACAGAGGTACACAGACCTGAGTTTTCTGTACAGCTTACAAGCAAGCACTTTGAAAATGAGATGTCAGACCATTCATAGCTATCTGGAATTAGTATCTGTAATATTGATTAGCTCAGCAAATCAGATGATCACAACTTCATCTTCTCACTCACCCTCTGACATCACTCCTCAATGCCTTCTAACCTGTTTAATCTGAACTGTTATTTTAATTTATACTGATCATCAGAACTAAAAGCTTAAATTTTCTGTTCACTCAAATCATCACCATTCCTGGAGGTGTTAAAAAAAAGTGTAGATGTGGCACTTGGGGATATGGTTTAATGGTCATGGTAGTGTTGGGTGACAGCTGGACTTGATCTTAAGAGGTTTTTCCAACCTTTAAGATTCTAAAAGACAAAACTCTCAGGAAGCAATAGACAGTATAACCTTTAGTCACCCTTGGTGCCTAAACTTGGACTGGCCAGCTCCCAGGTTTTGCTTTTTGAAGAAAAGACTTCAGCACTAGAAAAAAAAAAAAGTTCAGGTGAATACTATTTACAGACCTGGAGGAGAAGAACTGGAGTCTAATTCAAAATGGTAAAAGAAACAATTTGGAAAGAATTAAGCTAAGAGCCTTAAGGAAATGCTCTGGCAGAAGACTGCAGAGAGAACTCCTGAATACCCTCCCGGCCTGAGTGGTTCAGTGATGTTATGAAAGGGATTCTCTGACCCATGAATAGCAGTGGACTGGACCTGAGGTGTCAGGTGGTTTATTTCTATTGCCAGAAGAGTATTGTCTAAGCCTTACAAATCAAGAGTCCCTGTCAGAGAGAACACAGCTAAGAGGTCATTTTAAGTGCCTTCAAAAAAAAAATAATCCAGACCCATAGTCCAGACTCAGACCACTACACCAGACTACCCCAAATCAATCTGCTGTGAATGCAGATTTTTCCATTTCAGTTGTGGCATTAAAAATCAATGGAGTCCAATCCTAACTCTTGACAGGCCCTAGTCACAGTAACAGGTCTGCTTTACCCTAGAGCACGCTGAGGTTTCAGACAGATCTACTCAAGAAGTGGTGATGGAGGAATTACAAGACTAGTAGAGACAAGGTGATTCTGGGCTTCTAACAAACTGTCACTGATTTACAGAAACATTCTCTTTCGCTTGTTCCTCTCAGATTTCAGTGAGCTCTGAGGTCAGATTCTGTGCCCAGCAAAGTTCAGAAGATGAAACTGAAGCAGACAAGAGTCTCTCCCTGGGGAATGAAGTAAAGCATCTTCCTTCCTGTTGATGTAAGACAGATCTGACAACAGCTTTCACTGAACACAAGTGCTGAACTGAAAGAAGAAAAGGACACCTCCTCTGGATTTATGGCCTTCCAGCTGGCTGGAACTCTGATGAGTGTTCTGATCAGCATGTGGGACAATTCTGTGCAGCAAAGACTGACTTTCTCTCCTAATTCAGTAACCCAGAAAGGGCCAAGAGGTGAAACTCCAAATGATGTTGTGTGCAGCACAGCAAGTAGGGTTTATCAGGGTACAGTCCATGTCACTTCTTCACGCAGACGTAACCAGAATACCCACAAAGTTTTATAGCAATTCTACTCACTAGAAAAGTCTTCTATTAATTCTGTGCCCATATATGGGATAATAAGTAGTTAAAATATTTTTTACACTGACCTCACTTGAGGTACTCTTGTTGCTCTCTTCTAAGAACTGCTGCAGGGTGACAACTTCACTCCCCGGAGAGCCGGTCTTGGCCTGCTTGCCGCGACCCTCCGGGGCTTCGGGCGGCCTCTGCTGCAGCACGGGGCTGGACCTCGTGTGGCCCTTCAGGTACTGCACAGGACTGCTGCTGCTGCTGGACCACGCCTCGTGCTCGTGCAGCAGGCTGAACTCCCCACTGCTGTGGCTCTGCGGCCTGCTCTGGCTGGGAGCTGCACCTGCTTTTGGGGTGAAGGGCATGGAGGGTTTCCGTAAGAGACAGACCTGAGAGCTGTTAAACAGCACAGCCTCACTTCAGTGGGGAACCTCACCCCCTTCCACTAACAGGAACTCTGTTTAGAAGCCTAAAAACACAGCTGTGCTCCTTCACTCAACCCAAATACACTAATACAATTGCACTCCCCTGACTTACCTCTTACAGCTTGTTAAACGTGACATGCTTTTTTTTGAACAAAAAAATGCCTTTTATTTATAATCTGGGCCTCCACCTACAATCCAGGGGGGCAAAGAAACACCTCCACTCTTGCTCAGCACTGCTGTGAGGCACACACTCTAATACACTACTAATGACTTTTACAGTGAATGAAATACAAAGAATAGAATGGAAAGAAAATATTTTCTTCATCCCCATTCCTCAACAAGAACTATTTAGAAATGCTGTTTCTCCAACAGGTTCTGCCATTACTTATAGTTTGTTACAACTGTGACCTGAAGGAAGCATATGGCATTGAATGCAAAATAAATTCCACAACACCAGTTCTTTTTATTTTTCAATAAGTGAGAATTGCTTTTAAAATACTGATGAATAATCCAGTATTTCCAGCTTCACGTGACTCCTAAAAAATGAACTTCAGTTTAAAGAAAGAGAAATTGCTTACAGCATGAATTTCTAATACTGTATAGAAATTGGGGCCAGGGCTATCTCAAAGGATCTTTTACAGAAGAGAGGAATCCAACAGAAAATAAACAAATAAAAATCTTAAGCTAGAATTCATCTCTCAATTTCCAAACAAAGTGATACTGTTTAATAAGTGCAAGCCATGGATATTAAATAAGTCTTAAGCTGGCAGCATTCTACTCTAGTATGCACAATGGTCTTCAGCTAGAACGGCCATTATGAACAAAAATATACCAAAGCTTGTAACAGGTGAGGTTTAGAGAATATTGCTAAATACAGGAAGGTTATTCATCTTTTAAAAACAAAATATACAAATTTGCAGGATGGAATTATGGATGCCAGCTTGCCCAGTTTTTATTGTACACTATACAGCTTTACAGCAGCAGTGTACGTGAGGCCAGATGCTAGGAGGAAATGTCCTGGTTTGGGGTAAACCAGAAAAAAAAAGTTTCAAAGTTCTGATTGTCTTTTTTGTCCCTAAACCATGACAAGAAAGAACAGAACAGCTTCTCTGCTTAAAAAATAAGTGATTTTAAAAGTAACTGGGGGCAAAATTTGTATTTTGCTGCATTGTTAGGTTTGGTTTAAAAGATGTTTATAATAGATATCCATATTGTCCTTTCAGTATTTAGTAAAAATACAAGTTCTGTTGATACTTGTATTGTTTCCTGATTTGGGGAACAAAGGCTATAAAATGCTTGAAGAAAAACATTCAGTGGTATCCGGTGGGAATTTCTTGGTTGTATTTTTTTAACCTACATAGATGATCTTAAGGAGAAAATAATGGAAATGAAGCATGTATGGAAATTCACCTACAGCATACCTTTGACTTCATGGAGTGAGGCATTGTTATTGCTATTGCTAGTGGATGTTCTGCCACTATCAAGGCTGGCTGGTCTGGAAGCTAAATGGAAAATTAGGAGACACCATGATGAACAGAACTGCAGCAGGTGACACGGTACCTTTACATTCTGATCACAGAATGCTCAGAGGCAGGAGTCATGCACTATTTCACAGGCTGAGCATGCCCATTCTCAACAAAGTGGTTTCTTACAGATCAGAAAGCGAAGGGATTTCCAGGCAGTCCAAGAGGACACTTTAGAAAAGGGCACTACAGGAATAGTGAGGTAGAAGGGAGAGGAAAAGAGAAATAGAGTGTATGTTTAGAGTTGAAACTGACTGGTTAGTGGGAAACCAGGGTTTTACAGACCAAAGGATGGGCATGCAGAAAGCTGCTTGTGATTAGGTCACTTACAACAGATTTGACAAGGAACCTTGCACATTGTTGAAATGCCACGAACAGGAGGAGCAAGAGCATCTGCACAGACAGTGTCCTGTACTCCTATCCAATACAAGGGAAATGCACTGTCACCATCTGCAAACATGCTTGTGGCTTATACTAAAGTGTTTATACTAGAGTTAAAGCTTCACTTCTAAACAATCTGTTACAGCTTTCACTTCATAGCTTTGCTTGAAGGAAAATGTAACGTTTTCATAAAATACAGCATGTGACAAATATAGGTGTCACTAAGTATTAAATCGTTAAGTACTAATTAAGATGAATAATTTAGGCTGAAAAATCTGGCCAGGTTGTGGTGTTTGGTTTTTTTTTAAAGGACTGAAATGACAACTTTTATTTTACTATTAACTCCAAATAGATTTTTAAGAGGGAACATGTTCTGATCCTGTTCAGATGCCCATCATAGACACTTTCTACGAGTGATAGAGAACATCTGAAGTAGTGAAGGAAGAAAAGAGAGAGCAGTCTGAAGAAGTGATAGTATACACTGACAAGATATGCAAATCACAGGAAGCATGCTCACTTGTAATGATGCCAGTCACTTTTTTTTGCATACTTCCTTAACATTCACATAATACATCCTTAATTATTTAATTAAAGTTCACATCTTACCATGAACTCTCGATCCTGTACTAGAATCATCACTAATACCTTGTGGACTTACATCTTCAAAGGATGTAGTATCTATACACAGAGACATAAAAGAAGTTGTAAAATAAAATAGAAGTAAAAGATTATTGAAATATTTATCATCTCTAAAATATATGAAAATATTTTCCAAACCAATCCAGTTTTACTTAGGTAACATTTTGTACAAAAAATCCTGAAACATTTTATAATGGCAATTATTAAACCTATTCAGTATCTTAGCACTGCAACTCAATTATTAAGGTTGTTTTTTTGCTGGAGAAAAAAAAAAAAGAAAAGAAAATACAAGTAAAACTAATATTTAGATGAAATTGCTGTTACACATAGTCACATCACGGTGCAAAAAGCTTCTACCTATACCTTTATTATTTAGCAACTGCTTGGATCTGAAGCCTGTAGAAGAGTTGACAGCTGCAAAGTTGATAGCTGTAGTAGAGAAGGCCATAGCTCCCAATTCCTTCCTCCTTTTACCCGTAGATATATCATCAGGACCCTCCAGATGCTCAGAACTACCTGTCCATTGTCCTCCTGCTAGGACCATGGACTGCACCAGGTCATTCATGGCTGGGATGCAAATGAAAGCAAATGATCAGCATGGTCAATGTATTTGCCCCGGTTCTCACTCGTCTTGCAAAAGGTCTGACAGTTTTCTAAGCGTTACGAGCGCATCGAGTACTGGGAGATACAAACACGAGCTCGTGACATGCAGCCAGCTCAAGGCATGACAAGTGTGCAGAGTCACAGACCCCTTTCAGCTCTGTGTGCTTCTCAAAGCTGGTTTTATCAGCCTTAATCGCCATGCTTGCGCTGCGATGGTGTGTTAGAAGCCTTGATAAACTGTTTGCAGTGATAAAGTGGAATGAACAGGGAGAAAATGGGAAAAGGTGCTAATACAATATAACAACAATGATACGGGACACTTGTACAGTGCAGGTTACTGCAGGGATACTGCATTCTACAAAATAACAAATAAAAGGATCTGGGAAAGATGACAACTGATGGTATTCACCTTTACGTTACAAAACTAGAGAAAACTGTCCACCCCTCCTTAAAAAATAAACCAAAACCAATATAATACAACACTGTGGCAACGACAACTGATGGATACTCAGAGTGACAGACCACCATACAGCCTCGTGCTATTGTCTACACTTTCTTTAAACACCAAAATTACAGCGACTCCTTAACAAAAGGCTCAGGAAAGGTGTCATCTGGAACTGTTAACATGGTGCACTGTAAATTTATATACACATAGGGGCATGTGTATATAGGCAACTATGTATACAAGTATATGCAGTCACAAGGCACTGAATATATATATGTATGTGGGGGTATGTGTCTGCGTGTGTGCACAGGTGCATATATCATATATATATATATATACAAAGTATTCAGTGCCAAGGTTTCAAAAAAAAAAAAGGAAAAAAGAAAAAGCTCCAGCTCCTTGTATTGTAGCAGGACTTGCACATTGCAAAATAGGAGGAAAAATACAGCGCAGTCCAGGGAGAGGTTAGTGAAAAATTAGTAATGGAAGCCAGTGTAGCCATTGAAAGAAGCTGAACTGTCAGAAAGTCTTACACATGGAGCGACGGTAGAAGGCCTTCATTTTGTCTTTTTCCTTCGGTCTGTTCCTCAAAAAGGGCAGTCTTTTCAGTGCAACCACTTTTATGTCATAGCATGAGGAAAAACGGAAACAGGGAAATGAAAGAAAAAAGGGAGAAGAACAGATGGAAGTTAAATGTTGAAACTAAGGACAGAAATGAATGTCTGAGTTTAAGCTATGTAGGCTAGGCTAAGAACTATCATTCTCATGCTTCCGTGTGGCAATGACATATGAAAACTACACTGAAATATGAAAACTACATTATGAAAACTTTAGTATACTCAGAAATGTACCAAAAATAATGGTGAAGCGTGTAACACAGTTTGAAAGTTCTAATCCTCAGGCTCTTGAGAAAAGAAATGTAACTTCTCTGCAGATGATTATAGACTCAGACAATTATATAGTTCTTCTATGAAAAATAACATTTCTTGAACACAAAGAAAGATGTCAGGCAAAAAAAGCTTGAAATGAAAGCAACCCCAAGTACAATTTCTACTTTAAAACATCTTCACATCATTATCTTTTGGCATTAATAACTTTTGTCATGCTTTGCCCTGCATCTCTAGTAGGATGCAAGCTATTATCAGTCTTTGTTACATTTTGTGCTCATTACTAATTTTGGTCATCTACTATCTTGTGTTAGAATTACATGGACCTTATGTTCGATCTACTATTTGTGTGCAAGTAACTTCAATATTTTACTAAAATAATCCACTTCAAATCTGTAATATGAAAATTAAATCATGATTCATTTGCTGAAATAGGATACAGTTTTTTTAGCTTGAAAAATACCAAAGAAGAATAATAAAAAAAAGAGCAAAAGAAAATCCAAATGTGAGCATTGCTCTCACATTTTAGGAGGGCTAAGAGGAAAATCGAATCACATAATATCAGGGAGCAGAGTTAAAACTACAAATGGTGCTAAAAGATGGAAGAGGGGGAAGTCACAGGTTACTCCTGTCCTTAGATTCAGCCATTCTGCATTAGTAACCTGCACTCTGAAGCATCAGATAAATGATAAATGCATCAGCTGACTGCCCAGCATACAGGAGCCACATGCACACAACTGGCATGTACAGATCCAGAAGGAAAGAGGTAATGAAATTACCAAGAAGTTCCTATCTATGCAGATATGAAAGCTGTAGTCCAGTCTATCAGCCCAAGATCTGCATATTTTCTCTCTCCAAGGTCAATTCTGGGACATGACCTTTGTCTGGGTTTTCTGCTCCACCAGCAGCTAGTCATACAGCAGTACATATATATACATAAGCTTTTAAAAGTGCACATGAACTACCTGGAAAGAGCAAGAAACCTCCCTCTCCATTGTATTAGTCTGCATTTGCACTTCAAGTCAGAAGATCAAAGGACACTCCAGAATCATTCTTGTCATCTGTGTGTCACCTCATTCACAGAAGGACACACACAGGGCCCTGGGCAATGGTACCAAACAGAGAACTCCAGTGCAGCTACTGATGCCCAGGAAATGGTACATCAAAACCTGACTTTTGGTAACGTGCAGTTCCTCCTTGAGAGGAGGAATTAAGTGAGCTCTTTCTGCATAGCCTAAGACTGAAGAAATGTCCTGCCAAAACTCCTGGAATGGCAGAGCTACAGCAGAAACAAACAGGACACCACAAAGGTTAGCTTTGGCAGCTTTCACCCTTACACCTTTATTCCAACAAGATTTTAAAAACAGGATGGCAGAAGAACTATTTTGGTCTTAGTAATCATCTATTTAAAGGACTCTAGTTACAATTCATTAACTTTTCCTTCTCTTTTCAGTATTCTATGAACATATTCTTGCTTTCTGAGTCTGAGAGTGACTGATGAGTGCTGCAGAATGCCTCCACTGATCAGGACATATTCCACTTCGTAATCCTCCTACTGTATGCCAGAAATACTCTGGGGAATTCTCAATGGATAGTATTAAAATCCTCAAATAATTTTGTGTATGAACACAAGAAAGTGTTAGGCAGACATCTTCTGGGCTTTTGATACTGGAAAATGGAGCTCAATATTAATTCTTTTACTTCTGCTATGATACAATGTGTCTGCTGCTGGTACTACTATTTAAAGATGACATGTTAGCCTTAATTCCTTGGGATGCTGTTCATCTGAGATGGCTGCAGTGGAAGCTAGCAAAGGGAATCTCTCTTTGTCCACAGGGGGAAAAAAATGAAATTCCCACTTGCCTGCTTTAGATCTTCTATGCAAAAGCTCAGAGTGGAAACCACCCGCCCCAAGAAAAAAGGCTGTACACAAAGCAGATGCCAGATCTGTGGTACTCACCTGATTCAACCACTGAACACAGATATGAAAAGCAGAGGTGCAGTCAGAGGAGCACACAGTATCCAAGTTAAATCCCATGGGAACTACCTTGTGCTGCATACAGCAACAGCCATACAGGTATCCCCTCCTCTGCAGAGGGCCTCTGGAACAGGACAAGGGCTTCAGCCTGTGAGACCTCAAGTGCTGAACAGGGTAACCTCATTTTTCTGCCAAGATCACCTAGCTTTGTAAGAGAATAGGTCCCTTGAAAATATCTGCATGAGGCAGTGTCCTGTCTCATGAAAGCAGTCTCCATCACCACCTTCAAAAGAAGAAAAACCTACAAGTCTCCCCCAGTGAATCTATTCCTCAGTAGTGGCAGCAGCAGGATAATGCATTTGGGAGTCAGGATCTCCTCTGGCTTTCCCTCTCAAGGGGTTGTAGGGTAGGAAACCTAGCACATCTCAAAGATCAGTTTATGTCAGCTCCCTGTCCTCCAGCTTTTGAGAACAGTGGTGGCTTGTGCCAGTGACTGCTGTTTGGGGCATGTGAGATGCCTTCTCTTGCCTTCTGAAGGACACACAGGCCATTTCACCTTGGTGCTTCCCTCTGGAACCACCTCCACTCCCAGACACAGGAGATCAGGGTGAACCAGGACCTGTCTCTTCCCATACCCCAATCTGCCTGCTACCAGTGTGGGAAGCCACCATACCTGAGCACCTGCACAGATGGGCAGCAGCTCACAGTTACTCCTTGTAGCTTCTTTCAGGGGAAGCCACTACTGCCCAGCCACTTCTTACAGAAAAGAAAGGAGCTGCACTGTCTTGATATTTAGGATTTACAGTCATTCTAAAAGCAGAAGAAAGACTGCAAAATGTGCACCATTACCTGCACTCCTCACACTGAGATATTTTTTAACTTTGTGAGATGCAAACTGGCTCAGTAAGATCTTCAGCACTGAACTGGCACAGAATTCATCCAAATTCCATCAAATACTGTGGTTTCCATAGTGACATGTGTAATGAAGGAAGGTTAAGATCCAGAATTAGATCAGCCCTTCCAGTTTGTGGATAAATACACTGGGATTAAGGGGAACGTGAACAGGGTCCATGGAGTAGAAAATTAATGAGGTCTGAACAAGTTCAAACCTCTTTTGAGGATCAGCCAGTGTAAAGTCAACCATGGCTCCACCAGGAGGGTAACTGCACACCACAAGGTCCCAAGTATCATGCAAAGAAAACTGTCAGGTAAAAGAGCCCTTCCAGAACACAGCTGTTGACACAGATGCAGATGGTCTGAACCAAAGCGTGCACACTCTGGATTCAAACTCACACACTTGCAAGCACATCCACTACAGCTTCAGTCACTCCTGGACTCCACAAGACTTCCAGTTTGTATGTAAAAGCAACAGTTGCTTTTTAAAGAATCAAAAGTACATGTTTTGAACCTTCACAGACCCTTACACTGAAAAAAGCTAAGCTTCCCAAGTTGACAAGTTAGCAATGCAAGTGACAAAATGTACCCTCAAACTTACTATTTTTTTAAGTTATTAAAAAAATACCTTAAGTCTGATTTTACATTTTGCTGAAATAGTGCTTTTAGATGGTTTTAACTTGCACTAAGCTTCTGCAATAAGCACAGAGGTAAAAAAATCATAATGGCTTTAATAATTTCTAATACAGCAAATTCATCACTGGCACAAAAACCAGAATATTAATTTGCTGTCTTTTGAAACCAAAGACATTAGATTTTTTTAAAAAGTATTTCTAAAATTTGAAGTGAACCTTAATCCAGGTGCATTCTGATGCTTTTACATGCACAGCCAAAAATGCTTCTGGTGCATTATTATTAAATAGAATTGTTGCATTCTGATAACTTGGCTGCAATTTTATCTCTCGAGTTGTGAGAAACTGGACAGTTCATGAGTCACAGTGGGTAACAAAAAAGAGAGATTAATAAATGTACACGCAGCACAGAGTCTAACCTCTTCCAGGATTAGTAAATTGTGTTTGGAATATCCAGTCTCTCCACACCTCTGTAACCCTCCTCGCTCACTTAACTCTAATCTTTAGGATGAGTAACAATTTACATCTGCTTAAGAGATTATGACTCTACATTAACTCTTCCTGTTGCACATTCAAATGTTATCAAAATTCTTCAAGGCTGGTTTTATGGAGGAACACCATCAGGCAGAAGACTTTTTTAGCAACTAAAGGATGTTGGCACAGCCACAGCTTGGAAAGAACTTCCAAGACAAGGGGAAGGATTCATGCTGGGACAAGATGGAGAAACCAGAAATGGTACTAGTGGTGGCACCTGGCATTCCATTAAAGCTTCTGCTTGCCTGACCTAATAAAGTGCCTGCCTTGTCTTACCCAGGCACTGTACATGTGTTCTAACACACACATCCAGAGCTACAGAAATGCTGAAAAACGACTTCCCGCCTGGACACTCAAGGAGCTTGCAAGAAGTCAGTACAAATCTGTCATTAATAAATTAATTCAGGCTTCATTCCTGAAGACTTCAAAAAATTCTCTTTAAGAATCCCCCAAAACACAAAGCCTTTTGCTGCACCTCTTCATTTTTAATCATATCAAAGAGACATTTAGCCAAGGATTATTAAAAGAAAAAATGCTTTGCAGTACTCACTGCTACTCTTTTTGGTCCCCAGGGTCTGGCCATCCTCGAGAGAGTTTGAGCCCACAGAGGAACTATCCTGGCTGTCCTGGTGGGGCAGCTGCAGGAATCCTTCACTGGATTCTGAACGGGTGGGCGTGAGGGTCATGGACTTCAAACGCTCACGATTTACATCCTTCTTGGATTTTATCAGCTTCCTCATTTTCAGAGTAATCCAGTTGCCCCTCCTGTTATCAATAACACAGCACATTCACTGCCTTTATAACACATCAGTTACACCTTCAGACTTTTCCCAACTTGTACACAAGGACACAGACACAATTCTGCTCCCCTGAGGTTTAACCAAATGCTGATTTCCAGCTGGAACAGAGTACGTCAGGTTTTAGGTCTGTGTTCATTTCTGCATCAAGTTCATCAGTACCTTCTGGGTGGAGATGGTTCGTAGAATTTATACTGATCCATTATCTTCTCCTCCAATTTCTCCTTCTGTCGCCTCAACTCATTTAGCTTGTCACTGTAAACAGAAATCAATGACAATGTATGCTTCAAAAAGTATATATAATGTGGGAGTAGCATGTTCCTTTGGATATCTGTCATCTGAAAGTGGTCCCTTCATGAGGAATTCACTTATTTCTTGTTGAAAAATCCAGAGAGACAACAACTAGTCTTATGTTTAATGTTATGATATAAAATTGAAAAAACTTCAATTTGTCTTTATTACACAACAAATTTTCCCCCCTTTCTTAATAATAATAAATTGCATACAGGCTCTAACAGAATCCTTCAGATAAGGACATTTTCTTCTCTCCAATTCACTAAGAACATTTACAGATTACAAACAAACCTGGGAACTCTGCTTGTAGTAGAATGAGGAAAAAGTGTCATTTTTATTCCTCATTTCCATCATCAGTAATGAACACTGTTGCACTGATGATTTAGAATTAAAAGTATGTTTGTAGTTAAGAGTTACCCACTTTCCATACTAAAAATTTTATTTTAAAACCAGGAACATTTCAGAAGTAGCACACATTAACTTCTATATAAATCAAATAAAGATATTAGTGTAACTGCACTAATCACAGTGATTTCATAGTTTTAAAAACTCACATGTACTGCCTCTGCTCTACATGGAAGAGATCCTTGCTTTCCATATTCTGCTCCAGTAGTGTTCTATTCTGTAGCATTAATGTCTGAATTTGATCTAGTAGATGTCTGTTCTCCTCCTCCAGATTTCCTTTAAGCTGGCTAAGCAGCTGTTAAAACATATGAGATGGTACATGCATAGAGATGTGAGCATACTTTATACACAAATAATTATATTTAACTAAATCATGACTCAACTGATAAAAGCCTTTTTGATGCCTTAAATAACTTACAGCAGTTTACTTAACACACGAGCCCAAATTTTTGTACTGCCTGTACAACTGGCAAATTAATTTGCCTTCAGATCCAATTCATTATCTGTAAACCAATGACTAATTCTCAAGCACTGCACATCATTTTATGAATCTACAAATACACGTATATCAATTTTATAATGATATGACAAGAAAACCAGCATAATTCTCCCATACCTCACACTGATTGTTTAGTTTGGTCGATGTAATATCCAGTTGTTGGTATTGTTCCTTGAGTTTAGAAAATTCAGCTTCTAGTCGTGTTTGTTCTAGTTTAGAGCTGTTCAGTGATGTTTTCAAATTCTTATGATCTGTTTGGAGAACTTCGTTCTCTCTCAAGAGCTGACTGTATGTATGAGTAAGCCTGGAATTAAAAGACAGCATGAAATACAGAATACACAGCAGAATACAGGCAGACTGAAGGAATTGAACTCATTGTCCACAGTCCTTTGGAAATACAGGATTTCCAAGGCTCTACATTAATCCATAGAATATATATAAAAATGTCTTAGTATCACATACTGTAGGGAAGTCATCTCAGTCTAATTTTCCTAGGTATGCATTTTGCTTTTAAACCACACACTCTGGGGTCTCTGTATGTTTAAAAGCAAAACAGGATCTCTAAATGCAGAGATCTCAACTAGTTTTAAAAGGCCACTTTTCAAAATACAAGAATCTTACAAAACAGCTAGAACTTCTTGCCAACACAAAACAGTCAGTAAACAGGAACAGTCCAAAATTTGGCAGTCGTGGAGGTTAAGTACATAGATTCCTGGGCTCCCTCTGTCCCTGGCTGAGCCCTGCCACATCCCTTTTCCAAAATCAACCCCCAGGTCCCACCAGTGCTCCTCACCAACGGTAGGAGGTATTGAATTGTGAGCCTCCTGGCAAGGTGAACAAATCTTCATGCTGCTTCTCACAAAGTGGCTTGCTCCCTCTACAGCTCACTACCATACTGCACAGTGCCTGGCTGGGCACTCCTCAGGAAGCTGTGTGGAATTCAGTATCCTCAGGACAGAATCATATTTTTTTGTGTGTGTGTTTTTTCCCCTCTCCTGCTCAGTTTTTCTAAAATGCCTGTATCACAGACTAGCAGAGTGGAGTTGCTGTGAGGTATACATTGTATATGTCCTGAATTGCAGCATCAGGGATTAAGAAATATGAGAGGATATAAGGCTTGTTTAGGTTTATTTAACCTTGCATTTAACCTGCAAATGCTCAGACCTCTAACACACATCTCAGACTTCTGCTTTACCTTTCATTTTCATCACGAAGTTTTTTATACTCTGCTGCTACAGTTTCATGTTTTTCATTTTGCTGCTGCATCTTCTCCTGTTCTGTCTTGAGAACTTTCTCCAATTCTTCCAGCTGCACTTTTTGTTTCAGCAACTGATTGTACCTGCACACAAGAAAATGATATTTGTGTGGGGGGTTTTTTGAATACCAAGAAAACATGGATTTTTTTTCCAAAGTTTTAAGATCTTAATGTTGTATTTAAGTAATACTGGTTCTAGTCATGCTTAGTTACAGTGTTTTTTTGCTCAGGAATGGCAGACTAAATTTACTCATACATATTAGTATTTACCTATCTTCTAAGTCCTTATGCTCCACCTCCAGAGTCTTGTGGGCAGATTTCAGGCTCCCATGTTTAGCTATCAGAGACTCATACTCGGAGGCCTGGTGCTCGTGCAGGTGTTCCAGCTTCTCATGGTCTTTGAGGAGTGCCTCATACAGTGACTTCAGGTCCTCCCGTTCCTTCAGCACACCTTCGTTTTCATTCTCTAGAGCTGACTGCTGGATCAGCAGCTGTGCATTCTGATTCATAAGAGACGTGCTCTGAGAATTGAGGGTGGAATTTTCAACCTGCAGTCAAACATTTGACAAGAGTTGCAAGTTAATTTTATAGTCTGGATTAGTTTGTCTTTCTTCTCCTATTGAATGTTTTCTCAAGTTTAACCCTTAGCATCTTAGCAACCTTCTAGATGTTCCATCACCTGACAACCTTTTATGGGAATACTTTCTTACTTCTATCTTAACAGACAATCCAAATTCAAAATATTCCAGCAATATTTTTATAGCAGTATTGCAAGAAATCACTTAAGCATATGCTTAAATTGGCACGGGGCAGGGAAGGGGAGCAATCAAATTATAATTTACCTTCAAATATCTGTTAAAGCACTATCTAGATGAGAGGCACATTTTCCTCTCAGCACTGACACCTCTAGCACCAAAATATCTCAGAGAAATGGATCACTTGTGATCTTCATATCACATAAGCCAAATCTATGACATGACTAAAAGAAAAGGAATGTTCATACTGGCATGTTTGGGTTTTTTTTATTTTTTATTGTACAGAATCTCAACTGTCACCATAATATCCTTATTGTATCCACACATCCTTAAAAATGAGATTTTACACACAGTAGCATCCATTTAACAGAGAGAAAGGGAAATAAAATAATAGCACCTGGAAGGAACTACCCATCTTCTGGTTTACTGAGGAACTGCCATTCACCCTTGTCTGCCACCAACAGTAAATGTCAGCTGATCACTTTAAGTATGTGCTGTGAGATCTGATGGAAAACACTCTCCTTGTAGAACAGTACAGTTTCTCCAACAATTATGTCAGAACAGTATTAATGTCTGTTAATACATTAAAGCCTTCAACATTAGCCAGATTAAAAATATATATATATATCAACAGCAACTTTACTTTTTTGTGCCTCTGGAAGGATTAACTGAATCCCTGGATATCTTAAAAGAACTGATGATACTTCCTGTGCTTGTCACCTGACCTGTATAAGGCCCAGTTTCCTATTAAAGACATGAAAACCAAAAACTGCTGAGGCTTCTAATACCCTCAGGGTATCTATTTAAAGAAAAAAAAAAGGCTATCACCCCCGTGCACGCTGTTACTAAGGAACAAATCCCTTTCTGTTGGGACTGCAGCATTCTTTGTTACAGATGAGAAAGCTGAACCTTTCACTGGAAATGAAGTCATGTCTGATGGCAAGTGCATGCTGTGAAGCTTCCCAGACTGAATTCCTAGTTTGATTTAGTTCAGAATTTCCAGTTATCCTTTAAAACATCTTTTCTCTTGAATGCTCCTTATGGGTATCAAAAGGAGTAGTAGAATTGCTGCTGCCTAAGAACATTTTTGATATAGTCCATGTGGACCAGCTTAGTGCACTCTTCAGATTTAGCTAATACTTAATCATCCCTATTTTAATGAACATATTTCACCTTTCACTTTAATTTAGAGTTGATGTAGAGTTGTCTTGCCACTTGCCTGAAGCTATGAGCAAAACAGGTGAATTCTCAAGGGAGAACTCCCTTTCTCAGTCTGTTAGGTCTAATGTCATTCAGTCACCCCCAACACTAGAAATCACATTGGTGAGGTTTACCACCAAAAAAAATTAAAAAGAAAAGGCAGAAAATGCTTCCTCTTCCCAATTCACTGCCTCAATACTTGGAAATATCTACAGTTAAGATTTGTCAGGCAAAAAAGGAGATACGTAGATATTCTTGGGTTTTTTGACAAATAGTATATTACAAAATACTCAAAGAGTTCTGAATCCCAGAAATATATCCTCATCAGTTTAAAATGAGATATTCCTGTGCCCATGTCCACTGCTTTTAATGACCAGAGCAGACAGTGTGTGCACACATGTTCTGTTTAGCTCACAGGCTTGCTGCCACAAAGGGGAGTACTGTGCACTAATTAGATTTCAGTGTGGCAGACAGAAAGTGCATCTGTGGTACAACTGTGTTCTGCTTTCCAGAAACAGATAACATAGCAACTCAGGCACCCACAAAATGTGCTGTTTGCTTGTTTAAAGACTCCTTCATTCTGATTTCCATCCACCCTCCATCATTTCTGACACTGTTTACTATTTCTGCTGAGTTGTGGACTTTGTCTTTCCTCTTTTAAGTAGCTGTGATTCTTAGAGCTCCAAAAAGCATTAGATCCATTCACAAGAATATTTCATTTATCAGAGGGGAAAAAAGAAAAAAGGGATATATTTCATAACCCAGTAAAAGTATGAAGAATGACATCTGAATTTTGGCCCTAAGAGCTGCAAGACTCTGTGGGTAACATTTTTGCAATTCCCATGGTCACACATTACCTTTTTTCCCCCCATTGAATTCAATCTTCACATATTTCTGTAATTTTCAAAGTCTTTTTTCAAGTCTTTTGTACTTATTAAGATCTTGATTTTCTTCTTAGGTATGGCTTTTAATATTTCTTTTAAACACTATTTATAAAAATACTACAAAATACTAAAATTCCCTGACCTAGTTTAGAACTAAAAAAGAAATTAAAAAAATGTCTTAGAAGATGGGATAAGAGAATCTACTCTACTACTAAGTATAAAGTCAAGAGTTTAAACTCTACAAACATGAAGGATTAAAAACAACTTCTAGGAATGTTACTAGTGATCAGCAAATAAAATTCTACTTGACTGCTCTTGGTGCAGATTGACTGCACATTCCTTTCTTTTCTGTGTCTGTACCAGAAGTGAAATGAGACTTACAACACATTGCTGCCATTACCTTTCAAGCTTTCATTTGAAAAAGCTCTGAATTACTTTTATTTTTGCAAGCCAAATAGGAAAATATTACCTGCAGCTTGGCATTTTGAGTTTGTAGAGTTGTATTTTGTTCCTGCAGAGAAACAGTCTGCCTCTGGAGTGCAAGAATCTGAGCCTGCAGATTGCTATTCTGTGTCTCAAGCTGCTTTAGCTGTGTCTTCAGGGCTTGCTTCTCTGCCTGCAGTGTAGCATTCTTTGAACATTAAAGAAGAAAGAAAATTTGAGGTCACAGCTTTTACTGAACTTCAAGGAAAAAAGAAGGTTTCTCCAAAACAAATGAAGCAGCACGACTTTGCAGAGATTTACAGGGTGGAATGGAACTGTAAATCACCTTATAAAACAAAGTAACACGTGGTGATATTATCACTACAGGTTAAGACTGAAGAAAAGGGTAACTAATATGGTACCTGTGGAGAAATCTCCATGACTCATGTAAATAAGGATTATGTAAGATGGATTTAAGAGATATCTGTGGATTCCAAAGGGCAAATTCAGGTTTCCACATTTCCTTTACATGATGGTTAAATGCTTTACAGCATCTGTCAGAGCAGAATCCAGCTGCTTCATAAACTATATTTAATTCAGAATCTGCTTGGTATATAAACTAGGTGATAAACTGCCTGCTTTCTTCATGCTCTCATTTGTACCACTGGAACAGCTCACAGCAAATCACTGAAATCAGCATAATATTGAAAACACATCTTACATTCCTCTCCACTTCGATTAATCGGTCTTTAACCTTCAATAATTCTCTAGTAGTTTCCTGATTTTCTTTCTCCCACTTATTGACAGATTGATTGTCTTCTCCACTTCTTGGAGGAGAATTCTGAACCATCCTTTCCTCTTCCTGTCTTTGCTTGAGTGCTTCATAGTTCTTTTTCACCTGGAATTGTTTAGGACAACTTACATTATGTTTAGAAGTTTCCGTTTTCTACATCCTCATTTATTACATCACTGCACCACTTCCCAAAGAGCAGAAATGTTTCTCTGTTTGTAAATTTGCTTTCTGCATATATTTGGGGAGCCAATGTACAAATTATGAACAGCTTAGCCCTTACAAATACTTATCTAGCAGAAACAGACCTCTATTTGCTATTTTATTTCAGTGCTTTCAACTGTATTCCCCAACTCTTGTAAGTCCTACAACCAAGGAGATTGTGTTGGTTTGTTTTAAATTCAGGCTGTTCAAGGTAGATCAGAATTTCAGTGATTTCAACTGTATCCCCCAACTTTTATAATAAGTCCTACAACCAAGGAGATTGTGTTGGTTTGTTTTAAATTCAGGCTGTTCAAGGTAGATCAGAAAATCTAACTGAAAACTACTACTGTTAGCATCCCAAATCAAAGCAACTTCAGATTATTTACCCACCTAACATATTCAATACCCAATGAATAAACTCAACCACCTTCCATGTGATCTCAACACTGGGCCTGTACTACTGCAGTCCTAAAAAGCACCCATACCTTTGTCCTGCTTTACATGACCCAAACAATGCCCATCCTTTGCTGTCCTGCACAAAAGGTGAAGTGTAGAAATACCAATAGGTGGCACAGCAGTAATTTAATCTCACAGAAAAACTTATTCTCCTTACTGTTTTAAGTTCCTGACGGAGCTGCTGGTTTAAATTTGTTGATTCTTCTAAACGAGCCTCCAGAGCAGCAATTTTTTCTTCTTTTATTTCGAGAGACTTCTTAAGTGTGGATTCTAATTTTGACTCCAAAAGCTTGTACCTACTGGCCAATGACATCACACGTCAAAAAAGTCTGCATTTCAAAAAATTATCTGAGAGGTTTAAATCCTAAAATGTTCTGAGGGAGACAGACAGCTACATCAGAAAATGTTTGAATGCTGACTCTGTTTAAAAGCATGAAGACACTGCAGTACTGATACAAAGTCCTAACTCTACACCTAACAGAAGATGGCAGCCAAAACCAGTTCTGAGTCCTCCTTTCTTTTGGAACAGGAAACATCCCAAAAGCCATGTTCAGCCATACCAGTTGGGTGCTGGCTTTACTGGGATCATTAGTATGTGTGTGATGACAGCACTCTTCCTCCTGGCTCCACTCCAGTGAATCCAGGGGGGACCTGGACTAAATTAGGATGTGAAGTATTTGGAGAGCAAGATTTTCATCCATTTCCATTTCCTGCCAGCTCACAGAGAGGCAGCACTAGGGAAGGAGAGGGCACACAGTACTATGCAGGTGCATACTCCTTTCATGGATGACTGTGCAAATGGCTCAGCCCAGCTG